TCCGGGAAATAAATAGAGTATGATATTGGACATATGTCCAATAATAGAAATTTACATTTTTTACCAACCAGTAATTGGACACTGGCCATTTTACTGTTTGTTTTCAGAATTAAAATTAAAACGCATTAATGTGACAATGTTTAAACCATGAGGAACACTTTTATACCACACACTGATCTGTACACTTTTTAAAAATATTTTTTATTGTAATTGATGCTCTTTTTAAATTTTACGACATTAAACACCAGACAAGAATACTGTAACATCACTCGGAGACATATCCATTTTTAAAAGTAAGAAGACACCTCAAAATTTAAACATTAATTTGCAAAATACTATTTGATAGCTTTTGAAAGCCGTATATGACATGTCCAAGTATGGGATGATTCAACAAAACTGTCACTGTCATCCTCCATAGCCTATGGATGGATGGATAGCAAATCTTAGTTCTTTGTACAGAAAAAATATTGGAAATTGCAATGATTTTTAAAAAAATCCATATTTTCCACAAATTAAATAAATCGAGGTGAACCAAAAACAAAACTGTTAAAAATAGATCTGACTTGATAATTAAAACTTCTTTTGTTTAAACCTGTATATTATAGACGTACGTGTATTTCTTAGTAATTTTTAAAATGTGAGCGATTCTCCATTAATGTATCTACAATATTCTTTAATATTTGTTTAAATCCGACATCAAATAAAAAAGTTATTTGCGATTGAAATTCGTCAAAAATTTGTGTGGATCGATTATTTTGCCTGTGAGTGTATTTACACTTCCCAGCCCAATACAATTATCCTTTTAACATTGTTACATAAAATCCTTATTATTTGACCAAAACGGATACACTTATAAGTATACAGTGTCCACCTTCTCTTAGGCGTTCATTTCTGCTGGTCCTTTTCCTCCGATCGACCGGCAAAACCCCCGTTTGACATCGCAAACACATCCATTGAATCTGCAGAGTTGAGTGACGCGGTGTTTGACGTGTCCTCTAAGGCGTCCACACCTCGCCTGAATGGGCCGTGTCACCTGCAAACGCTGCGATTGAAGCGGACAGCGTGACAATGTGCCGGGCAAACATGCCAGAAGGGCCCCATTGTCCCCGGACACCCACCCGAAAGAAAATACCATGAGATTATTCGGGAGTGAGCGTCGCTCTCGCTCTCTCGACGAGCTGCTTGTGGTGGTTTCGATTAAACGATTTTTTTCGCCACTTACATTCTTGTTGCTTGTTCCTTATTCTTTTCAGCCGGGTCCTTTTTGTTCGGGTTGTTGTTGAAAGGTGTTCAGGTAGAGCTGTTAATACCTTTGATGGTCCAATATTAAGATTATTAACGAAAATTATCTCGTCACACATCCCAAGTTTTGTATGATACTTACACTGTTATAAAAATAGTAGTTTGTTAATTTTATTTTGTAAAAATTTTTGTAACAATATAGGATGCCATCACTGGTTTTCAAACTGAAATTAGGGAATAAAGTGAAGTGCACCCATGGGTTAAATTTACGAAAAACATGTAGTACAGTTAATTTTTTTATCTGGACTGGTTTTTTTTGTTAGATTGGTGGCTTATACCAGTTTAACTTAGTATTTTTAGTATAAAACTACTTTTTCCAAGGTAAAATTTTGTGCTGATTCAGAAAATCATAATGGTTTTCCTGGTTTAGCTCTAGATTTCGAGATTCGCATGAAATCTCGAAAAAATGCAATGGTACAGAACATTAAATCACAAATTTTCAGCTAAAATTTTTATTTAATATTAACATAATCCCAAATTTTTATAGCTATAAGAAGGAAAGTGTAATACAAATTTTAAGGTGTAAAACTTACATTAGTGGTTTGGTCGTTAGGAACAAAAACAGGTAAAAATAATCGTTTTTTTTCTGAATTTAAAAAAAAATCAACTTTGGTCCGTAAATAAAAAAAACACTTTGAAATATAAAAAGTTGGCCCCCCTATATTCTAGAGAATTTTAATAAATAAATAACAAAAAACTAAAATAAAAACGGTTTTAATAATTTTTTTCCCTTATTAAATCTAAAAAAATTGTAATATTATAACATAACATTTTTCATTGCTTCAAAAAATGTACCGTATATAATCTAAATCCAGTGGCGTGCAGGACGGGCCCCGCAGGGCCCGCGGTGCGGGGGGGCCCCCGACCTTAGGGGGGCCCCGTAGAGAACCACATTGGGTGGTATAAGTGACAAAGGGGCCCCAGCTCAAAATTTGCGGGGGGGCCCCCGATCACCTTTGCACGCTACTGTCTAAATCTCATCATATATTGACGTATGTATGCTTAAAATTTTCATAATTAAATTCTCTAGAATATAGGGGGACTAACTTTTTATATTTCAAAATATTTTTTGATATACAGTGGACCAAAGTTAAAAAAATTGAAAAAAATCGGAAAATAATGATTTTTTCTGACCTATTTTTCGTCCTAGTGACAAAACCACTAATGCGATTTAGGAGCTTTACATCTTAAAATTTGTATTAAACTGCAGTCCTTACAGCTATAAAGATTTGTGATTGAATATTCTTTAACAGTGCATTTTTGCGAGATTTCATACATAACCTGAAATCTAGAGCTAAACCAAAAAAACTACTATTATTTTTGGAATCAGTACAAAATTTTACCTTAAAAAAAGTGGTTTTGGTTAAATGAGGAACATGTTGCAACTTTAGGTTTCATAAGCAGAAATATGAAAGAATTCAATGTTACCTGTATAAAATATGTGTATATGTCATTTGTCCGAAGTGTCCTTGAATATTGTTGTGTCATATGGACCCCATATTACGCATGCCATAGTAATTTAATTGAGAGAGTTCAAAACAAGTTTCTTCGTCATTGTGCTTTCAGACTCAATATTCCTACTGAGGAAATAGTGTATTTTCAGATAAGGCACTTATTGGGTCTAGATCCATTGTCCGTCAGGAGGGAAAAAGCCCAACTAGTGTTTTTATATAAACTCCTCAATAATTCTATAAACTGTAGTGCATTGCTAAGCAGAATTAACTTCCATGTACCTATACGGCATACTAGACAATACAGTTTATTCTATATAAAAACCCATAATACCAACTACGGGCAATCCATGCCTATTGATAGAGTGTGTGCAGTGGCGAATAAGTATGTTGTGGATCTCTTCTGTAACTCTCTAACCAAGTTTAAAAGTAATGTCAACAATTTATTTAGTAGTAATTATATGTAATTTTTGTAATTAAAATTGAACCCATATTTTGTAATGGTTTAACCGTAAATAAAGATATTATATTATTATTATTTATCAAATTTTGTAAACTAGTGTAATTTACTTGTCAATTATAAATAAAAAGATAATTATGCCAAAAATAATAGCAACGAATTCGAATGTAAAAGCCTTTTTGAGGGCAAAACTTCATTTTGATGAAATTATGCCAAATGCGGCATTTGAAATGCCACAATGGAAGAAAAAATACATCGCCTTATGGACATTTTCGGAGTAAAAAAGTAACGAATTTGGTTTTATAAATATGACATCACACATTATTTTCACATTATTCACAATTGGACAACATTTACGTTCACAAAAAATTTTAATTTCTTTTAGGTATAAAAATTCTTTTTAAAGCAAAGATCATTATCCGCTAGGAATACTTTCTCTAAATTCTTTTTATAGCGAAGATCATTATCCGCTAGGAATACTTTCTCTTCTGGGCCGTTAAGCAACCTATATTTAACTACTTTGTTTATATGATTTTACTTAATTGCATTTTTTTTAACTGCGAATTTCGACAACTCAACTTGACAACTACACATTGTAACCTACAATAACTTATACATAACCACAATTAGATTTATAACTAGCTTAGTTTGTTTTAATCAATGCGACCAACTTGACAACTGTATTTACCAACCAAAACCCTAAATTTGCAACGTTGCCGCAGTCCAGATAAAAAAATGAACTTTAGTACTGATAATTATATTGTACCATATTTCTTTATAATTTGATGATTTTAGAATGGTGTGTTATTTAATTTTGTGTATGTTATTTTTGTGTTCATTTATGTAGGTACCTACGCATGTGTTAATTTTTTTCAGACCTGAATTATTTTACGACGATAAAAAAAATAAATGGCTCTTAAATCTATCGAATAAGGATCTAAATAACACATATTTGATGCTAAAAAATCTTAATTCTGAAATTTCAGGATAATTTCAGGATGTTCACATGCATGTAAAGCAAAATTTCTTTTCATTTAAACTTAAGTTACCAATTTCCAACAAATACTTTTGTTACTGGGTCTACAAAAAGGTTATTTTTGATATTTACAAGAATTATGGATGAATTATTGATATAGGATCTTAAAACTAACTTCAGCCCGTGACTAAAAACTTGTTGCTAACTTTTTAGACTAAAATTTTAAATATATTATGTAACATTATATAACTACTATTTTTATCATGGACAACAAATTAGCTACACCTTTTTAGCCTGAAATATGCATAGGTAGTCTAGACTTTTATTTCAATAATTAATGGGTTTATTATCACACACTAAGCATAATGATCATTATACAAGTTTGAAGTATTTTTTACTAATGGTTTACAAATAATTATCAGCCACCCTACATTCCTAAATTATTAGTATGTAAGTATCCCTTTATTTTTTTTGTAACTAAAAGAGCACAAGTGCTCCTTAACGATATTTTTCGTCATTTGAAGAAATGTTGATCATTATCAGGCACAAATTATTAATACGTGAAGGCTGTACTTTATATCCTTTAAAAAAATATTCACACCTACGCCTATGCTATGGAAAACAGATTTGGGACCTCTGCTCAACCAATCGCCATCTATAAACCAAACTAAATCAATACATTACCCACCATCAAACATAGATGTCGCTTAGTATTTTAATTTGAAAATATATAAAATTTATACATGTCGCGCCCTCTAGCAAACACTAGCATTCGTTTTAAAACTTTAACAACTAATCTATAGATGGCGCTCTAATCGCTGTCAATTTTCAGTGGTTAACCTCAAATTTTGGTATTTTTAAAACGCCAAAATGCTTACAAATAGGTTTTTAAATCTGCAAAAAACTGTGAGTTTGGCCAAAAATTATCTGCACACGTCGGGCGAACGCTACGAAATCCAAAAACTCACAAGGCTGAGAGTTGTCGACAATAGTGAAATTGGGAAACAGGCCATGGCAGAGGGAAAGCCTCCTAGATGTATACACGTTTATAATAAAACTGGAGTTGGAAGAATAGGTAAAATAATGTTTGCTTTACTAATGTAAAATATTTTAATTATTATATCATTAACATAGTTTTGTTTTTTTAGGTGATAAAGTTTTGGTGGCCATAAAGGGAGAAAAGAAGAAGGGCATCCTTGTAGGACTAAAACAAAACCAAAAAACAAAAGTTCCAAAGTTTGACAGCAATAATTTGGTGCTCATCGATGATAATGGGACGCCTATGGGAACTAGAATTCATGTGCCAATACCTACAATTTTAAGGACTATTCTGAAGGAAAAAACTCAGGCCAAAGGAGCAGATTATACAAAAATTTTAGCGATTGCCTCTAAATTTGTATAGTTAGGTTTTTAGTTCTTATTGTTTAGTGGTGTAAATAAAATATAAGGTTTATTTATTTTTGCGACTAATTTATTAAGTTTTTGTCTTTATATTTTGAAAGTTATTAGAAACATTATAAATAATTTAACATTTGAAATGCTCACAAATCTTTCATATTTTTTAAATTTTAAAGTTCTTGTTTTAATTAGTTTAATTAAAATGAGTGTCTAGAAAAGTTTATAAACGAGTTGTTTTGAAGACAACTATACAATTTAATTTAAATATTTTTATAGAGCAACGTCTACAAAAATAGAGTAACCAACATTAGTCCTAGGAATCAGTTTACCGGCTTTTAAAATGTCATTGACAGTTTGTTAAACTTTTCTGTAAAAATCGAAAATTCTTCCTTGAAAATGGACTAACAATAGTTTAAATCCGATATAGAAGCAGTTTTTAACAGTGAAAGTTAAGAGGATGTTTTTATGTGTATACCAAATTAGTAAAGTGAGGTTAAACCCGTCCGATAGCTGTCAAATTTTAAATAAATAAAATTCTGAAAAACATGAATTTTAGGTAGTATGCAACTGGTTTTATAAACTTTTTTACACTCGTTTTTATTAAACACTCCATCGCAAGTTTGCTCGTGTTTAATTAGTCGTGACTAAAATGGCGTTTGTAAAACTTATATTATATAACATTATATTATTAAATATAAATTCTTATTTAAATCCCTAAAAATTAATAATTTTAAATTTTGGCATGTTTAGAAGATTTTGGTGGAACAGCAAAGTAAAATATGCATTAAGTTTTATAAACGCTATCTTAGTAACGAATTTTATTAAGCACGAGCAAAGCTCGCGAGCGAGTATTTAATAAAATGAGTGTCTAGAAAAGTTTATAGACGAGTTGCATATCTACGACGAACAGAAATATGAATTTAAGGTCAATTTTAATTGATAAATATACTAATATATTATGTGCTGATTTAATAGTAGTGCACTGTGTAAATGACTTACTTTTGACAACAAAAAAGTTGACTTTTTGACAATGGTATTAGAAAAAATAAATAATAAAGTTTCTAAGAATTAAAAATGTTTACAGCGCCATCTAATGTTTGGTAGAGTAATTTTCAAGACTAATTTGATAAAGTCTAGAATCTTAAAACCATATTGCACCCATCAAATATAGATGGCGTACAATCTAAAATTAAACCATATAAATAACCATATTAAACCATATACTTGTGGTAAGTATATGAATTAAACATATACTTACCACATGTGGTAAGTATATGAAATTAAATATTGGTCACATCAAAAAAATGTCATTTTTTTGTGTACATCGTCTTCCAACATGGAAATTGGGCAACAACTTTAAATAGTGCAAAATGATTTACTAAAGGCACCTATTCTGCAGATTTTGTTTGTAAATTTGGCAACGTCGCACAAAATTCCTAAAGTTCTTTTTATCTGGACTGCGGCAACGTTGCAAATTTAGGGTTTTGGTTGGTAAATACAGTTGTGAAGTTGGTTTCATTGATTAAAAAAAACTAATTTAGTTATAAATCTAATTGTGGTTATGTATAAATTATTGTAGGTTACATTGTGCAGTTGTCAAGTTGAGTTGTCGAAATTTGTAGTTAAAAATGCAATTAATTTGGCTTTGGTGTTGCTTGGATGAGTAAAATCATATAAAAAAAATAGTTAAATATAGGTTGCTTTACGGCCCAGAAGAGAAAGTATTCCTAGCGGATAATAATCTTCGCTTTGAAAAGAATTTATATAAAAGAAATTAAAATTTTTTGTGAACGTAAATGTTGTCCAATGGTGAATAATGTGTGTTGTAATATTTATAAAACCAAATTCGTTACTTTTTTACTATTATTTTTGGCATAATTATCTTTTTATTTATTATTGACAAGTAAACTATCAATATTAAATATTATTGTCAATTTGACAGTGTCAAAGTATTTAATTAAATTCTTTAACAGAAGTACCATTTTTAAATACTAAGTCCATCAACCAACTTAACAAAAAAACACGAGTCTAGATAAAAAAAATGAACTGTAGGTTTGTCTGGTTTCCGAGTAAAAAATTATTAAAGTTGTTATCGTTTATTATTGTTAAACTGTGTTGTGAATGTTTTTTAAATCAAATGTAACAAAATGACAAATAAATATTGTTTTTGCAAGTTAATACCTATCGCCATTTATGCATTAAGTATAAAGGCAACTCCCCTTAATTAATTACTTAAGGTTAAGCGCACAGTTTTGCAATTACAATAAACGAAAATGTTAGACATGTCCAACCAGGCGGCAATTCCTACACGTTAGTGTATTCGGAGTTGTCGCCTTACAGAAGTATTGATGTACACATTAAACCGTGAACCTGTATGTCATATACTACTTCACTTGTTTGTGTTCACTTACCATTAAGTTGTTTTCTCCCATGAAATGATTAGGTATTTTGATTGTAAATAAAACACACAAAGTACATTGTAATAGGTATAATTGAAAGATTTTTATATTGATACAAGCAACACAATAATAATCGAGAGCACAGGAGGTATGTATAATAATGTGCAGTGAATTGTCCAGACCAGTTTCACTAACGAAAACGTTCGATGCTGTCCCGTCGCCAATGAACACACAAAACATTTCAAAATCGAGCTACTTAATCAACATTGGTAAACTATAAATGTCCAAATTGCGAGTGGACAGCATCAAACCTAACAAGTTTCAGCCGTAAGCTTCCAACGCAAGTTTAAGGCTTTTTTAATGTTTACATAATACTACAGCCCGCTTGGTGTGTTGGAAGGTTAAGGGTGAAATCGTGGTGCAACCATATAAATATAGAGGCAGAGCGTAAAAGTATTGCAAATTTGTTTGCAATGTTTTACAAATTATAAACTGCATAGTCTAAAATAGCATTACAATAGTTATAGTTTAAATTTATATAAATACGATCACAGTAATAAATGGGAACCGAAAATTTCATTTACTTTAATAGTTTTCAATATACATTACATACATCCAATTATTGTAACCTTATGTAAATAACGTCTATATTATTTTTAGTTATTACTATTCTACACCCAGTCTTACTTTGAAAAAAATTATTACAGTGATGATATTTTGATAAGCTGTGCACTTGATCCGAAGCATAAACAATATTTCATCGTACTCTTGTCAAAAAAACATCACACACATTTCTCTTACGTCTTATTTTATTTACTTATTACAATAGCATTACGTACCTAACAAATTTCTTAGAATATTCTCGAATACTGAATCATAAAAAACTTGTTTGAGAAGGGAATGTGCCATCAATTCGTTAGGTCATACAAACACCGAGTTTTTTTCAACTTAACGCGTATTCACAAAATACATATAATTTGTAAGTTGCAAAAAACGAATGAATACTCTATTCACTAACATTTAAATGTAAGTAAGATACTTGCGTAATTCAAGTGACAAATAATTTCAATTCAACGAACGCCAAAATCATACCAATGGAATTTCCTAAAACTCAAGTAACGCAACGAACACCTTTTAGCGAGAAAAAATATTAATTGCGTGGAAAAAATTGCGTTTACTTGGATTAATCAAGTACTAGACTCAACACGTGGAAAAATATGGCACGCCGTCCTAGCATTTATTAGATAATAGTTTAAAGATTAAAGTTTAACATTGTAATGATGTTTTTAGTTTTTTTTAACTCAAAACAATTGATAGTCAAAAAATATTTTAGTACAAATATTTTATTCTACAAAATTATCGGTTAAATTTGTAGAGAGTCGTTTAAATGAAAGTCGATAAATTTTTAATAAAAAAATTCTCACATTACATTTAAATGTAAGTTTTAAATTTTAAAGTGATAATTTAAAAATTGGATTAAAAATTTATCGACCATCATTTAAATGACTCTTTTTTAACACAAAATTTATAATTTCACATTTAAATGTAAGTGCATAATTTTTAATTTACAAAGTGTAAACGTACAAAGCGCGGTTTATAGATGGCCTTCCTTCCTCCCTCCCTTCCTTCCGTAAAAGATTAACAATACGAAAACCGTAGTGCTGTTTATAGATTCCCGTACGGGAATTTATAATACGGACTATGGTTTTCGTATTGTTCATCTTTTACGGGGGAAGAAAAGCAATGTATAAATCAGGTTTTACATTTAAATGTAATGTGAATAAGTTTGTGTTAAAAATTTTCCAATTTAAATTTGTTAAAAATAAAAGTAACTGGTTTAAATTTGTAAAGAGTATTTTAATACAATGTTAATCCAAAAATTACCACTTTAAAATTTAAAAATAACATTTAAATGTGAGAATTTTTTTATTAAAAATTTATCGACTTTCATTTAAATGACTCTTTACAAATTTAAACCAATAATTTTGTAGAATTAAAATTAAAACTACAATTTTTAAAAACCAATATTTTAAATTTTTTAAACTGTTTTATGTGTTTTTATTTTAAATGTTTTGACACTATTTTTTAATACTAAAAAATTTAACTTTACCAATTTAATCTAAATAATTTGATTAAATATTTATTTAGGATTTACAACATTCTGCCCAAATAAATTATACTTAAGATATTTTTATTAAAGAATGTCGGTTACATTTTTTTGCAAAAATTGATGATTGGAAATAATGTTACAATTTAAATTTGTTAAAAATAAAAGTAACTGGTTTAAATTTGTAAAAAGTATGATAGTCAATACATTTTTAATCCAAAAATTACCACTTTAAAATTTAAAAATAACATTTAAATGTGAGAATTTTTTTATTAAAAATTTTTCGAATTTCATTTAATTGACTCTTTACAAATTTAAACCACTAATTTTGTAGAATAAAATTTTTAAAAACCAATATTTTAAAAATTTTAAACTATATTTTATATGTTTTGACACTATTTATTAATACTAAAAAATTTAACTTTACCAATTTAATCTAAATAATTTGATTAAATATTTATTTAGAATTTACAAAATTCTGCCCAAATAAATTATTTTTATTATAAAACGATGGTTCAATTTTTCTTGCAAACATTGATGATTGGAAATAATATTGATTAATACAGAAGTGAACTGTTTTTAGTTGGGAAAATTTGAAACCAATAACATTTTAAGTTAAAAAATTATTTAATAAATGTAAAAACGGCGTGCCATAGAAAAACGAGACTGAGTGCCCGAAAAAATGAACCTACCAAATAAAGGTGCGGTGACTTACGAAATATTGCGTCTCGCATGTCTCCGCACCGCATATAGAAACTCGTATCGTCATTGGATGATGTAAGTACACGTAAAAAACGCTACGCTTTCGAAGATCATTCTCTACGCGCCGCGCGCCGCCAACCTGACCGCCATGCCGCCAAAATTTCCTACTTAACCTTACAAAAACACTCAACAACTTTTTCCTAAGCGCGGCGTTGGAGACGCGCGACCATTCCTATTCTAAACAAAATTTATTACTCATTTTTATCGCAGATTTCAGTTTCGGGGAAACCCCCGGTTACATGCAAACACGTAAAAAAGTCGCGCCGCGACTCAATTCCCGTTCAAAACATTTTCCTAGTTAAATTTGGCGCGCGGTCGCGTTTTGTTACTATTGTACCGATAACAAAAAAATTAAAACAAAAAACATGCAATCAACATCATCGACAAACTTCATCAGGCGTATACAGAATGAATATTTATTTATTCAATAGTTTAATATATTCGAGGGGGTGTGGCTCATTTTCTTTTATTATTTACAAGTTACCGTGTAAACATAGTTCTATGTAATAAAAACAAGAAATAAAAATTAAAGAAAAACCGAACGTCACTTCCCACTACTAAAATTCTATAGTAATAATAATAATAATAGTAAACGCTACGTTGTCCCGCAAGGGGGCCAAAATCCTTACAATTAAATATTTTATATGTACAAAAAAGGAACAAAATGTTTCACTATACTCTAGTCAATAAATCGATAAATATATATTTTTGGCGTTTCAAATAAAAAACGAAACTTTCGCGTGTTTTTTAAGTAACAAATAAAAAAATCATAAAAAATCGTCATGTTTAAAATCTTGCGCGGGAAACTGCCGCGCAAAACGGGCCACCTGTTGACGACAGACATTATTACAGTTATTAATTAGGTATTTTTTCGCACCATACGATTTTGAACATTATAATTTAATTCAATTTAATCCATTCAAATGAAATTGTACAAGTTGATACTCTTTTTTTAGTCAATTGACATTTTGTCTCGCAGTATTTCCGCTCTATTTATCTATTGGCGGCTTTAAAATTCAAATAACTCTTGCAACTTTGCGGATTCGAAAAAATATTAATATTTGTTGTCGCCAATTTTGGGACACCCTGTATAAAATGTTGTTATTTATTAAGACAGTATATTATTACCATATATAGGCAATTTGTTGTCCTAAATAACTGTAGAACATTCCATAGAAGAATTTTTTGACTTTATCATAATATTTTTTCCTCATTTTTGTTGTTAATTTAAAAATTATATTTTTGTGTATTTGTGTAAAATAACACAAAAACCAAGACCTTTTTAAAATGTAATACACCGTAATTTTAGATAGATTATGTAAATGTACTTCTAAACTTTTAATTTTTTTAATTTTTTGTCAATTGCACGAAAATCCACTAACAAACTTTCAAAATTGCTGTAAAATGTACTTTTAATATTGTAATTTACTTTTAACGGGATTTTAATGTAAAATATAGTAAAACAATGCAAATAACATTTTTCAGCTTCATCAACAGTAAAAATGTACAAAATTGCATATTTCCAATGTAATTTTACGAAGTTTAATTGTTTAACTAAATAAAAAAAACAAACTCTGTTTTTTAAGTTTCACAAATTTGTTTTGATTTAATTTTTCAAATTAAATTAAAATAAATTCGTGAAACTCAAAAAACAGTGTTTGTTTTTTTTTATGTAGTTATACATTAGTGATATGGGGTTTCATCAAGTAAAGGGTGAAACAATAAAATATTTAAAAGTTTTATTATATAGCCTAATTTTCGATAAATTATGTAATGTACTTCTAAACTTGTAATTTTACAATGTTTTACTATATTATTTTGCAACTTTTTGCCAATTACACAAAAACTTGTCCTTTTTTCTGTATAAGTATTAAAAAATATCAACCGAATTTTAATGTAAAATATAGTAAATCAACAGTAAAAATGTACAAAATTGTACATTTACAATGTAATCTTACGATGTTTTACCATTTTATTTTATTTTGCAATTTTTTGTCAATTACACAAAAACTCACTAGCAAATTTTTAAAATTGCTGTAAAATGTACTTTTAATATTTTAATTTTAAATTTTTTTGTAGTTTAATTTTTGTAAAATATTTAAAAATTTCAACCGGATTTTAATGTAAAATATAGTTAAACAATGTATATAACTCTTTCTTCATCAACAGTATAAATGTACAAAATTGCACATTTACAATGTAATTTTACGAAGTTTTATTGTATTATCCCGTAATTTTAGATAACTTATGTAAATGTTCTTGTAAATTTAAACTTTACAATGTTTTACTATTTTATTTTGCAATTTTTCGGCCATTACACAAAAACCTACTAGCAAATTGTGTAAAGTATTTTCACCGGATTTTAATGTAAAATGTAGTAAAACAATGCAAATAACTAATTCCAGCTTTATCAACAGTAAAAAAGTACAAAATTGCACATTTACAATGTAATTTTACCAAGTTTTATTGTATTATACCGTAATTTTAGTTTGGTTGAATTTAAATTTTAATATATACTATTTATATAGTTTGTTTATAGGTTCATTTGCCAAGCTGAAAAAACGTTCTTAGAAGTATTTTTTTACTTTCTTGTAACATTTTTTCCGCGATTTTGTTGTTTCCAAAAAAAAAGTATCAACTTGAAAATTCAGAATTTTATGTTAAAATACCACAAAGTGTTTAATTAATTATTATACTATTTAGCCAAATTAAATTAAGAGTGTCATCTGTCGAGAGAAGTTTCAAACGACCAAGGCTAAATAAAATAGTTGTTTTACTGGTGGTATTTGGTTGTTGTCTAGAAAAGCACCACCAGGGGACTGTTTGTTGAAGTTTGAGTTGAGTTTCTTTGCTTAGAAAATGATCTGTATAGAGATCATTTTGTTTGGAAAGTGGTGCCGCAAAGGTCGACAAACAGTCCCCTGGCGCGTTTTGATGGGTGTGTGTGTGTGTGTGGCGGCGTTGCCGCGTCTGTCGTCAACGGGCCGACGCGTGTCGTGCGCAGGTGCTTACCCTCGCTTATCCCTCTTTAGTCCTGCGCGGCAGGCGGCCTGCCGACGTACCGTATGATCCCCGATCACGACGCCTGCTTGGCCACGATGACGCCGGGCCGCGACTGCTGCTGCTGCCTGTCGGCGGCGGCCACCGTGGCCGCCGCCGCCGTCGCCACGTTGAAGTCCAGGAACGCGTGCATCTCCTGCTTGATGCAGACGGCCGCAGCCGCCGCCGCCGTCGCTTCGGCGGCGGGGGCGGCGCGCGTCGTCAGCGCCAAGGGCACTTCCTGGGGGGCGGGCGGCTGCTGCGGCTCGTCGCCGAACATGTGGTCGCCCTCCAGGTGCCGGATGGCCTCCACGATGGTCTCCAGGTTCTGCCGCGACGTGTTCGACACGTACAGTCGGCTCGGGCTGGACTCTTCGTGCTGCTGCAACGAAACAACGAACGTTGTGTCAAAACATGCAAAAATGCAAAATTTTTATTGCAAACAAACTGTTCTCCACAAAAGAAAAACATAAAACTTGAGAGATGTGTCTCTCAAAAATGAGCTACTCACTATGGTCAAAAACTTAGAAAATTGCTGTAAAATTTATTCTTAATATTGTACAATGTTTTTATTCTTTAATTTCTGTATATTTATTGACAACTTTCAACCGGAGTTTTATCAACAGTAAAAACACAATTCAAATTAACTCTTTTAAGCTATATCAACAGTAAAAAATGACAAATTTCAACCGGATTTTAATTTAAAATATAGTTAAACAATGAAAATAAACTCTTTCAAGCTTTATCAACAGTAAAAATGTAGAAAATTGCACATTTACAATGTAATTTTACGAGGTTTTATTATATTACACCGTAATTTTAGATACATGTACTTCTCAAGTTGTTATTTTACAATGTTTTATTATTTTATTTCGCAATTTCTTGTCACTAACACTAAAAATTCAAGGAACTTTTTAAAATTGTTGTAAAATATACTTTTAATATTGTAATTTTACAATGTTTTTTCATCTGTAATTTCAGTAAAAGTATTGACAAATTTCAACCGGATTTTACTGTAAAAAATATAGTAAAACAATGCAAATAAACTCTTTTAAGGTTTATCAACAGTAAAATGTACAAAATTGCACATTTACAATGTAATTTTACGAGGTTTTATTGTATTACACCGTTATTTCAAATAAATGCACTCCTCAAGTTGTCATTTTACAATGTTTTATTATTTTATTTTGCAATTTATTGTCAATTACACTAAAACTTCAATCAAACTTTTTTAAATTGTTGTAAAATGTACATTTAATATTGTAATTTTACAATGTTTTTATTCTGTAATTTCTGTAAATGTATTGACAAATTTCAACCGGATTTTAATTTAAAATATAGTAAAACAATGCAAATAAACTCTTTCAAGCTTTATCAACAGTAAAAATGTACAAAATTGCACATTTACAATGAAATTTTACGAGGTTTTATTGTATTACACTGTAATTTCAGATAAATGCACTCCTCAAGTCGTCATTTTACAATGTTTTATTTTATTTTGCAATTTATTGTCAATTAGACTAAAAATTCAAGGAACTTTTTAAAATTGTTGTAAAATGTACTTTTAATATTGTAATTTTACAATGTTTTTACTCAGTAATTTCTGTAAAAGTATTGACAAATTTCATGATTTGATTCAAGTTTTTTTGAGATATCATTGGATCTCTAATAAAAAAAAATAGAAAACACTTACCACCGTGTGGTTGGGGGACGGCAGCCGCTCCACCTCCACCTTGGGCTCGGCCTTGATGGCCGCCTCCAGCACGGAGGGCAGTCTCTGCGGGGGCGGCGGCAGCTGCTGCTGCGCCGGAACGAGCGGCTCGGGGACCACCACCAGCTTGGGCGGCTCGGGACTGGGGCTGCGCGACACCGGCGGCGAGCACACCACCGTCTGCGTGTGCCCCACCGGCGGCACGCTGTCCGCCGCCACCAGCTGCAGGCTCAGGTCGTCGCCATCCTCGAGCTGGTAGATCTGCGCGGCGGCGTTCTGCTGCTGCTGCGCGTACAGCTGCTCCTCCAGCTGCCGCACCTGCTCCTCCAGCATCAGCCGCGTGTTGCGCTCGCGCTCCAGCTGCCTCTTCAGATCTGGAAGCAATCGTTGAATATTGCAAACATACGTAAACGCTTACATTTTTATGTAAAACATGGTAAAATGTAATTTTACAATGTTTTGTACTATAAAGTTTAAAAAAAGTACTATTTGTACACTTAACATTAACATTAATTTAATTTTACATTATTGTCCTGTTTTTTAATGTGTAGTTTTATGTAAAATATATAAAAGTTTAATGTAAAACATGACAAATAACATATATTAGATAATGTAAAGTGTACAAAAATGCAATTTTACAATGTTTTTTACTGTAAAGTTACATATTTATGTAATTTTACTATGTTGTCCTGTCACATTCTAGAATTTTTTTTTAATGTGTATTTTTTGTTAAAATATATAAAAACAATGTAGAAGCAATATAAAAATTTATAAATTTAGACTGGATTTTAATGTAAAATATAGTAAAACAATGTAAATCAATTTTAGATTTATAAACATTAAAAATTTACAAAATTGCACAATTCACAATACCAAATATGCAATGTAAAACATGGTAAATAACATATCAGATAATGTAAAATGTACAAAAATGTAATTTTACAATGTTGTCCTGTCACAATCTATTTTTTGTTATGTGTATTTTTTTGTAAATTGAATAAAAATAATGTAGGAGCAACAGAAAAATTTAAAATTTAGACAGGATGTTAATGTAAAATAAACAATATAAATCCATTCTTTTTACAAAATTGCACGATTTACAATGCAATGTAAAATACGAAGTAAACAATGTAAAAAATGGTAAATAAAGTAGAAAATAATAAGTGTACAAAAATGTAATTTTACAATGTTGTGTACTGTAAATTTCCACATTACATATTTATGTAATTTTACAATGTTGTCCTGCCAAAATCCATAATTTTTTTTTAAATGTGTATTTTTTGATAAAATATATAAAAATAATGTAGAAGCAATAGAAAAATGTTTAAATTTATACTGGATTTTATGTAAATACATTATTTTCATGCAATATAAAAATATGAAATATGCAATGTTAAACATGATAAATAACGTATTAAATAATGTAAAGTGTACAAAAATGTAGTTTTACAATGTTTTGTACCGTAAAGTTGAATGAAATAGGTACTGTATAAATTTAAACATTACATATTTATGTAATTTTACAATGTTGTCCCGTCACAATCCATAATATATAAAATATATAAAAAATAATGTAGGACCAATAGAAAAAATTTTAAATTTAGACTGGATTTTAATGTAAAATATAGTAAAACAATTTAAATCCATTTATTTCATATTTATCAACTGTAAAAATTTACAAAATTTCACAATGTAAATACTACATTAGATAATATAAAGTGTACAAAAATGTAAGTTTACAATGTTTTGTACTGGAAAGTTTAAAAAAGTACTGCATAAGTTTGCACATTACATATTTATGTTATTTTACAATGTTTTTCCTGTCACAATATATAATTTTTTTTAATGTGATATCTTTTTAAAATACCAATATAAAAATAATGTATGTCCAATAGAATAAATTATAAATTTAGACTGGATTTTAATGTAAAATATAATAAAACAATCTAAATTCATTCTTTTCAGCTTTATCAACAGTAAAAATTTACAAAATTGCACAATTCACAATGCAATGTAAAAATACGAAATATGCAATGTAAAACATGGTAAAGTACATATAAGATAATGTAAAGAGTACAAAAATTTAATTTTACGATGTTGTCCTGTCACAACCTATTTTCTTAATGTGTATTTTTTGTAAAATATATAAAAATAATCTAGGAGCAATAGAAAAATGTATAAATTTAGACAGGATTTTAATGTAACATATAGTTAAACAATGTAAATCCATTCTTTTCAGATTTATTAACAGTAAAAAGTTACAATGCAATGTAAAAATACAAAGTATGCAATGTAAAACATGGCAAATAACAAATAAAATAATTTAAAGTGTACAATAATGTAATTTTACAATGTATTGTACTGGTAAGTTTAAAAAAGTATTGTATAAATTTGTACATTACATATTTAAGTAATTTTACAATGTTGTCCTGTAATGTCCTATAAATTGTTTTAATGTTTATTTTTTTTGTAAAATATATAAACATAATATAGTAAAACAATGTAGGTAAATTCATTATTTTCAGCTTTATCAACAGTTAAAATTGCACATTTAAAATTCAATGTTAAACATGGTAAAAAACATATTGTGTTACAATGTTTTGTACTCAGGATATGAAAAAATATGCAGAACAAATAATCATAAAAACATGCTTACCATGTGAGGGATTGTCGGCGGAAGCGGCAACGTTGGTGACGGTGATCAAGCTGACAGGTTCGGGCGACATCGATCCCAAACCTTCGTCCGAAGAATCGGTGGTGGGCAAAATCAGTTCCGTCTTTCGTTTCTTAGGCGGCAGCTCGCCGCCCTCGTGCTGATTCACCAGCCTCTTGAGCTGACAGTTCTGGCTCAGCAGCCTGGTCTTCTCCTGCTCCAACGAATATATGTACTCGGCAGTTTGTTGCAATATCGCAGCCTGCAACAAGAGATAAGTCCCATGAGAATGTTGTTTATAGTAGGTAAAGTTTCAATTGATTTAAGTTAAGGAGCTACAGGAATCGGATGAATTAAAAACAGCAAGATTTTTGATTTTTTAATGCCAAAATCGAATTCATTTAAAAGCCACCAACAAAGAAAAGAGAAAGAGATAAGCGGCTAAGGTAATTTAAATCTCTTGGAGCGTATAGCGTGTCCGAGACTGTACCCCGGGTTATGCCGATGTCTTTGACACTTTCAAGGTGAAATTACACCATAGAACCGACGACCGTTGAAGAACGTTTGCTGCTGCTGCCGTCTGTCCAAAACAACAACAACAACAACAACGCAAGAAGAGGACAACCGGTTGCATAACACAAACCACACGTAGTGGGTATGTTATGCAACTAGATAGTCCAGAGGACCAGAGTGGTTTACATTCAGTATTACGAACAAAACAATCTATATAGCGATAAAAAAGGGACCTACATGTGTTTGTCTAGGCAGGTAAAGGAAATTTCGCAAGAAAACAACATTCGGTCTATTTATGATGGTTATTATCTACTTAAAACAGCTGCTCGTAGCACAAAGGGAAATTCGAACACAAAAGATTTCGACGGTCCGATAAAGTGCAAACGAAACGTTCTTATTCTAAGAAAATACCATTGTGTCGTGTTGCATTGTAGAAAAGAAAGTTATGCAATTATTTTTCCTTTAACGATGCGTTGCACAAAAGAGAGCAAGACAGCGCGACATAGAAATGTAAACAAAAATATTGTTCTATTTTCGAATTGGATATCGAAAACTTAACTGTTTTCTCAGCTGAGCGGCTTCAAGGTTAACAGACCGGCGAGATAAATTTCGACAACCGAGTTTAAAAATAAATCAGTTGAAATCGTTGTACGTTGCTACGTGTGGGTTTTTGCAGTTCTAGCTAAAAGCGGAGTACGTTCAACTCTTTCAACTACTTTCGCGCGATCAAATATCAAAAACGCAAGCGATTTTCGACTTTAACAACTTGGTCGACAATAAAAGAACCCAGTAATAAAATGTCCACCCATTCATCTCTATCTAGCAACCCACGTCGGTTAGCGTGAGCGCAGCAGTGCAAAATTCTCTCGAGCAAATCAAACTTTGCACACACGCTGCTGCTGCTGCTGCTGCTGCTGCATAGGCGGCTGCGATAGTTGGAAATAATGAACAAAAAAAACCGGTAAGGTAAGACCAATCTATTTATAGAACTGGCTGTGCTAGCGCTACGTGAATGTGCACTGGAACGTAAAGGCAGCGTACGGTGACGCCAGCTACGTCGGAATTCCAAAGCTCCCAAGGAATGCGACTTAAGCCACGAGAAACCGGCACAAAGAAAGAAGCCGGAGACAAATTCGTTGACGCGGCGTTTTTATTATAAAGGGATTATCCTTGCCAACACAAGCGAGATGTAACAAAACCTTGTTTTATTAAATTATTTGTCTTAACATTTAATTTTTAAAAGCGAGATGTAACAAAACCTTGTTTTATTAAATTATTTGTCTTAACATTTAATTTTTAAAAGCGAGATGTAACAAAACCTTGTTTTATTAAATTATTTGTCTTAACATTTAATTTTTAAAAATCGACAAAACTACTTGAGACGTTTCTGTTATAAAGGGATTATCCTTGCCAACACAAGCGAGATGTAACAAAACCTTGTTTTATTAAATTATTTGTCTTAACATTTAATTTTTAAAAGCGAGATGTAACAAAACCTTGTTTTATTAAATTATTTGTCTTAACATTTAATTTTTAAAAATCGTAAACTACTTGAGACGTTTCTGTTATAAAGGGATTATCCTTGCCAACACAAGCGAGATGTAACAAGACCACAGGTTTCTTTTTTTTGGATTATTTGTCCTAACATTAAATTTAAAAAAATCGGCGTTTACGTAAGTCGTAATCATTGCAACACTATTATAAACCTAACAAAACTTGTTCCGATAGATACATCTTCTAGTCTTAAGAAGGATAAATGTGATCTCTATGAACGCAATCAATTTAACTACGAAACAGTGGTATTCTAAAATTAGAATTGATTCACGCCATGTTACGAAGCTAACGGTATGGTTGCGGTAAGCAGCGATGCGAGCGCAAAAAAATCGAAATTCCTAACATTTCAATGCGAACTGATTGCCGGCTAACACACGGCAAGGCTGCAACGTTAAATGTACAGTCACCGGGAGAGGTGGGCGTTTTGGAGGAATTAAATAGAAACTTGTCCGTTTCAGGAATTTCGCATTAAACAAAAATGATGTCATTTTGTCTCTAAATTAAGAGAGAGATCAGCTGATGTCGTCACTCAGCTTGTAAATCGCCTTGGACACGGTGTATTGGCTTTGACAGGTGAAGGACCTTCATAGACTGCGACATCCGGTTGAAATTATATATCTGCTGCGCAAAAATGTCCTCAATTTAAAAAATGGTTACAATCACAGTCCACGTAATTATAGTAAACAACAACACCTGTGCTTATGCTACATAAACAACATCAGTTCTTCTTCTTCTTCTTTTTCCCATCGGTTATTTATTCTCGTTTGATCGACAACTAGCAGGCTGTTGCTTGGGAAGTTGTGAAACGTTCTCTTCCACGATTTTGTGCCGACGATGGAATGCTAGGAATTTCCACTCTCGCACGGCCGGCCATTCAAGTGGACCTGCATACCGCGGCAGGAAGTCCCCATTCAGATGCACCATGTGTGAGTTTTTTATAAACCCGCTTCAGGTGATAGAACGATTAAAAAAGATCCTACGTCAATAACAGCGAGATACATCCTACAGTCCGGAACACTTGATGTATCTCACCATTGTTGACGTAGGCCCGCACTATAAAAGCCACAATAATAATTGTTTTTTGAATAATAATTTTAACCCGCTTCAGGACGATTTAAAAAGATCCTACGTCAATAATAGTGAGATACAACACTTGATGTATCTCACCATTGTTGACGTAGGCCCGCACTATAAAGGTGTTGAGTGAAGAAGTTCTTCCTCACTCGACGATAAAAGCCACAATAATAATCGTCGAGTGAAAAAAATTACATTTTGTATAACGAATTAAGACTGTTTGATAGCAGTTGGTCCGAATCGGCTTAAAATTATAGGCGGTCTTTATTTGGTCTACGTGGGCCGTTTCGACCATATGGTCGATAAAATATGAGCAATAAAATTGAGCTTGGCACGCAAAAACTCACTTTAAATCTAAACCTAACGTAAGTAGAACTCGATCTCCATAAAGCGATATCGAAGAGCAATTTGTTTGTGATTTTTTTCTTTTGTGTTTTGCAACAGCCAATTTGCAGGAATGCAGTCTGCAAGGTCGAGTCTTTGCATTCCTGCGATCAGCGAGCTGCTTTCCAAAGACGATGTGTTTCTTTGCCAAGTTACACTTTTATTATTGTCGTCATTTTGTCTTCGCCGGCTATATTTATCGACCTTCAAATACTATTTACGATTATTATTATTATTGCATCGTTATTATTGATAATAATGTATATAGTCGACCTCCCCGCTAAGAGAGGTCGTCAAGCCTTCGAATCATTCTCAATAAAGACATTAAAATCCTTATTTGAAGTGCATTATAAATTAACAGTGAGCATTCTTTAAAGAAGTTAGAAATTAAATGATTTAATCCCACAAATTGGCCTTGTAAAAATGATTTACATCCTAATGTGTCGTATAGCGCGTGTTTTTATGATTATTACCACCCGTAAAACAGTTTTATTAGCAGGAATTCATTATTTCATTTCCCACAAAAAAAAATATTTTAATCCCGCCATCGTCGATAGTTTTCCCGGGGGGCACGCAGAGAGAGAGAGGCCGGAATGCAGCAGCAGCAGGAACTCCACGAAATCCGATCGACGCTAACGGCGGTGGTGCCGTCCGTTCACCCCGTTACGTCATCGGGCGTCACGACGTCATTGCCAGCACACGCCGTCAGCTGGGGTGTGGCGCCGACCTGTGCTTACGACGAAACGCCGTCGCGCGGCGCTGCACGAAAAATCCAGGTAACATTCTGCAAAGATTTTTGTTTTGAGCGTTTTGAACGTTTTAAACTTTTTAGCATTGTCCATAAGCAGAATGCATGGAAAAATTAATACATCGGTTTATAAGGAGTGATTATAAGTTAATGCAAGCGAGATGTATAAGGTCTGGCCTTATAAGGACATGAGTTGTGGAAACCTAAGCGAGATGTATCAGAGAAATTACCGTAAAATAAGGAAAATAGAAACAATTTTATTTAAATTTAGTTTGAAAGTTAATGTCCACATTTAACATTTCAAGATTTCAAACATTTTAACATTGTCCATAAGGACAAACTATGCAAACACAAGCAGGATGCATGGAAAAATTAATACATCGGTTTATAAGGAGTGATTATAAGTTGATGCAAGCGAGATGTATTAGGTATTAGGTTTGGTCTTATAAGGACATGAGTTGTGGAAACCTAAGCGAGATGTATTAGAGAAATTACCGTAAAATAAGGAAAATAGAAACAATTTTATTTAAATTTAGTTTGAAAGTTAATGTCCAAATTCAACATTTCAAGGTTTCAAACATTTTAGCATTGTCCATAAGGACAAACTATGCAAACATGGAAAAATTAATACATCGGTTTATAAGGAGTGATTATAAGTTGATGCAAGCGAGATGTATTAAACAATGAAGGCTATTAAGCAATAAATTTAGTCCCAACTCTCGAATTTTTTTTATTATTTCCTTTGCTTTGCCATTTCTCGACCTTAAATGAAATATTGTATTGTACTTTGTACAAAGTGAGTGAGCAAGCGTTTTATTGTAGTCCGGATATCCTTAATAAATTCAAGATGTTGTTGTTGCGTCGCCTGGATAAATAAAAGCCGCGGAGTCAGCTGAAATAGTGCGACTATGCACGCAACCCGAGTTTTTGTTTTTCGATTGAAAATACGAAATTTTAAATGGTCTTGACCTTGAGAGGTGAACAAAACA